CTTGGTTTGGTTTGGTTCAGATCCGTTGAGTTATTTCCACTTTGGTCCCTGGTGAGGAAGGCTGCAGTGAACGGGTGGCAAACAGATACCTGTGCTTACCAGGCTTGTGGGTATATATCTGGGGATAGAGCCCACGAGTCGCAGAATCCCTGGTGGTGTAGTGAGTTATGATTTGGGCTGCTTGCCCCACGGCTAGTGGTTCAAAGCCACCAGTTGGCTCGTGGAACATTGAGCCTAAGTGGCTGAGTGCGCGTGCTTAAACGGGGATTCCGTGTTTAGCTTATCCTGAGGCGGCACCACAGTGACTCCTTCATTTTATACATGGCCACTCGCAATGCATCGGGGCTCCACTAGGTCCACCTCACCACCGACCCTTGTCCCTGACCCCCATTAAAAATGTCCCAACAGCCGTCTGCATGGGTGCGCAGAGGCCTCTCGCCGTGGGCTGTATCCGCAGTGTTCCCTGGTGACTGATCATTGTTCAGTATCGTTGCATGTGCGTACTGGCCAGTTGCCACCTAGCCCAGCTGCTAACCCACGATGCATCCAGACAGACTCCTTTTCTCACCAACAGATCTTCGCCTGGAACTCTTTTCCGTGTTCTTTGCTCCCCCTTCTGCAATCGGTTCATCCTCTTCTTGAGCCCTGGTGGCTAGTGGTTATGCTAACCTTGAAGTCAGCAGTTCAAAACCATCACCCGTTCCGAGGGAGGAAGGCGAGGCTTTCTATCAGAGGGGAGACCTGAAGCCCATCTGTAGACAATCGGACACCCCCTTACAGAAGGGTCACTGTAAGAGACGAGCCAGTCAGGGGGCAGTATAGCACCGATGAAACATACAATGCTCCTCTGGTTCTTTAAAGCTTCCTCCCCCCTCCCCCCACTATCCTGACCCCAATTCAATCTGGCTAGACCAGAGCATGTACACGGGTACAGGTAAGAGCTGAAAACTCAGAGAATCCAGGACGGATAAACCCCTCAGGACCAATAATGAGATAGTGATACCAGGAGGGGAAGGGGAAGGTGCGGGGGGAAGGGGGAACCAATCATAATGATCTATCTATAACCCCCTCCCAGGGGCACAGACAACAGAAAAGTGGGTAAAGGGAGACATCGGTCAGTGTAAGAAATGAAAACATATTAATAATTTATAAGTGAACAAGGGTTCCTGAGGGAGGGAGGGTGCAGGAGGGAGGGGAGCAAATGAGGAGCCGATACCAAGGGCTCAAGTAGAAAGAAAATGTTTTGAAAAGGGTTATGGCAACAAATGTGCAAATGTGCTTGACACCATGGATGAATGGATGGATTGTGATAAGAGCTGCATGAGCCCCCAATAAAATGATTTTTTTTAAAAAAGGGGTACAGTCTTAGAAGCCCACAGGGGCAGTTCTATCCTGTCCTATAGGGTTGCTGTGAGTCGGGAGTGACCCGTTCGAAGGCAGTGAGTGCGGTTTGGGGGGTTGAGTGCATGTTCCCTTTGCCTCCTACACCGGGTCAGTGACCTGCGGAGCCCCCACCCTATCCAGGGGCTACTCTCCAACACAGCCCTGGCCACTTTGGGTGCGTCCTGCTCAGAGAGCCCTAAGAAAGCACTGCGCCGGGCTCTCTCTGTCCTGTGTCCCGGCCACTGGCCAGCACAGGGCAGGACACAGGGTGGGTGCTCAGCAAATGCTGTTGAATGATGGACTGGATTCCACCTGACAACTTCCCCAGCTCCTGCATTTAGGAAGCTGTCTGAATGACCTCTGACCCCACATTTCTATTCCCAGAGTGCATGTGGCTATGCAAATAAGGTAGAATTTGGATTTCACCACGGGGGTGGAGAAATAGCACTATTTTTTGTTGAGCATTTGTCTTGGATGCCCCAGTATGTTCATAGCACACAATGAGCCCCAGGAAGATTAAAAAAAAAAAAAGGACAGTGTCCCTGTAGTGTAAAGTGATTCAACTTCTTGTGATTCATATAACCTTGGAAAAAAGCATTATTGGCATCCAGTTAGTGGGTTCTAAGCAGTGGTGATGGATACAAGGTTAACTCTGTGTCCACATTAAAGCCAGGGACTACTTTTCCTGCAGGAAATCTTCACCACATCCATATTGTAGCTGCTCCTATGAGTTTGAATTCAGAGGGACCCCATTTGCGCCAGAGTAGAACTGTGCCACCCAGAGATCCAGGGCAGATGTTTCCAAAAGGCCACCTTCCCCAGCGCCCCAGGGGGAGTGAAACTGCCAACACACGAGCACCTGTGTGTCACCCGTCCACCTCAGCACATTTGTACCTCCTAGCTCATGTTTGTCTCCTGTGCATGTTGGTGTGTGTATGTGTGTGTGTAGGGAAGTCCTCCCGACAGTCTGCCCTTCTTCCATCCTGCTGTAGCAGCTTCGCTCGGAGTTGTTCCAGCGAGTGTGGGTGCCACTGTACAGTCCCCCCAGTCCTCCAACCCCCGTCCCTCGTGCCGCAGGGAAGCCAGGCCCCCGGCTGCAGGAGAAAGGACACAGGGACGCTTGGTGGTTGTGTTTTAAGCTCTTTTTTTTATTGGAGGGTAGGAACATGGCGACAGTGCAGAACCTGGGAGGGAGGGGAACGGCCCAGTGCCAGTCTGCCCCGGCCTCCGGGGTCAGGTGCAAAATACAAAAATAGAATCACAAATACAGCCCGGGAGGGAAGGGGCCTTTGGGGAGTCTATACAGTGTGGTCAGCAGGGGCAGGCCCTGCCCACCGTCTCACACGCGCACCCGGATTCCTGAAGGATCCTGACAATCAAAACCCACGATGCCTTAGGCTTGCATCCAACAATCACACTCCCTGCGCACCCAGCTGGCCCAGGTCAGATGACAGCTGGAGAGTCTGAGGCGGGCAGAAAGGAGCCAGCCGGCCGCCTGGCTGGCGGAAAACCGAGAAGACAGAGAGAGAGAGGCATCCGGAAACAAAAGGGCAGCCAACCTTCCTCGAACAAGCTGAGGGGTGGGAGACCGTCAGAAGAGAGACAGCTAGAGACCAGGCAAGCCCTGGGCTGTGCAAATGCTTCACCGGCTCAATTGCTAGGCAAAACGTCATCAGTTCAAAGCCACCCCAAGGCTCCTGGGAAGCCAGGCCTGGCCATGGGCTTCCCAAAAATCTCAGCCTGGAGACCTGAGCAGTTTGACTCTGGGACACGCGGTTGGGGCTGCCGAGAGGCAGCGTTAACTTAACGTTGGTCAACAACAGAGAGAGCCAGGGAAGGGAGATGAGAGAAGGCGAGAGAAACAGGCAGATTCAAAGCACAAATGCAGTATTTCCAATTTCAACGACTCGATCCTCAGGGCCGATGTAACAGACAGAGGCCCCGGTTTGGCAGAAGCGCTCACGCTTGCACACATACACACCCATATATAATATATTTATTTATACATAATAGATATAAGTGCCTTTCGGAAACCAGGAAAGGGATAGATAAATAGCTCTGGGAGGGGAGGGGTGGGGGCTCCGGGACAGGGGGTGGGGGACATGTGGAAATGTCTTCCATGCAGCACAGGCAGGTGGGGGACCAACCTCAGATATTAAAAAATAGAAATTTGTCTCCTGATCCAACTTCTCAGGAGATGAACCACAAGAAAAGGTGTGTGTGTAGGGGGGTTGCAAAACCAAGGTGTGGATCGCTAAGGGAGATGAGGGAGGGGTGGCTGGGATGGTGGGAGCCCCAGCCTCTTTGAGTTTAGCAGTCCAAAAATACTGGGGAGGGGGTGGCTGGGGGGGCGGGGCGGGGAACAAAGCCTCAGCTCCTAATTCTTCTCCAGACAAATGGCAAAATCTCCTTACAACCATGACCACCTCTTTCCTCTTTCTCCAGGGGAGGGAGAAGTTGGCGTCCTAGGCTGGGGGAGGGGAGGGCGCCTTAAAGACAAAAGCTACGTTTTGGGGCTGGGGGTCCTGAGGAGAGAAAGAGGCCACCATCAGTCACCTCCTCTCAATTCTGTCACCCCCCATGAATCGAACTCAAAGGTTGGTGGGGGG